GTCATTGACTGTCACCACAAACCTGGCTGGATGTCTGAAGCCGTAACGTATCTTCCTGGCTCTGCACTTCTCCCTGATCTGCTGGAAAGCCATGCGCTTCATCATAACTGCTGATGTCAGGTCAAGAAAGATGAACACTGGGCGCCCCCATACCTCAGCGGAGCCCTCTCCCTCACCAGCCTCAACATCAACTCCTTGGTTTGGAACCGGTGCAGCCTGGCAATGATCGCTTGCGGCTTCCCATCCTTAGCTGGCCTTTTGCTGCGATTTGCGCATTCCACACCCATTGGTTGATCAAAATGCTCCTGCCCCAGCAGTTCAGGTAGCAGCTTGGAAACAAACTCGGAGGGTCTGCCGTTCTCGGCCTTTTCTCTTATTCCAACAATGTGGATATTTTGCCTGCGGGAACGGGACTCCAAATCCTCCAGTTTAGCCTGCTGTGACGCACACATTGAAGCAAAGCTCTCATACCTCTCCAACTCCTCCAGCCGCTTCTCTTGTGAACCCACGGCCTCTTCGGTGGCAGGCACTCGATCACAAACATTTGATAATGCTGCTTCAAGGTTGCAAAGGGACCCTTCAAGCTCATCAAATCTCACATCCATGGCAATATTCATTTTTTGTATTGCAGTTAAAATATTTTCGTTAGTGGCTGAAGCCGACGCACCTTTGCCAGCGCTGGCTGTCACAGAACCGGCATTAACCACGACATCAGCACCTTTGTCATTTTCGGTCAAATCTTCTTGACAAAAACCTTTTTCAGTTTAAAGTCCGTTGTCTTTTTTTTTCATTTTGTTACCAAACACTGTGGAACGATACGATATCAGCTCAAAAAACAGTTAGGTGAGGTAGAATCAAGAATCAGGTGGAGCTCATTCTGTACACGTTTAGGCCGCCTCACGGTCCACCATCCTCTCTATTTTCTTACTGTTTTCATGTGAAAATGAGAACTGTAGGAGCAAATAATCCATAAATGTCTTCATATTTTCAGGATTATTCGATATGATGTGCAGTGACTTTTGTCCTGACGTGTTTTCAGCTAAATAGTCTTAACTTATTTTTATGTATATGAATGTTTCTGTTCAGTGCCCTGAGATGACTTACGTCATGACTTGGCGCTATATAAATAAACTGAATTGAATTATTCACAGGGTTTATGGCTGGATTTTTATTGACCAATCACAGCTCGCACAGCTTCTGGATCATCCAATCAGCTCCTCGCATTTAGGTCTCCGCCCCCCGACACATTTGGTTTTGATTGACAGACGTCTGCTCAGGATGCAGAGTTCGGCTCCAGACGGACAGGAGAGTTCAAACTTGAGCAGCACTGAAAATATCCACAACAACGATGGAGGCTTTCTACGGCACATGGAATCAGGTGGACTGCACTAACTTTGATGAGTATTTGGAGAGAATTGGTGAGGAAATAATTTTATTATCGTCATTAAATAAAAGGATGTTCAACATTCTTTAAGTCATTCTCTTTTCTTTTGACAGGTGTAAGTCCTTCTTTAAGAAAAAAAGCCAAGACACCACTAGCAATGGATATCTGCCAAGATGGAGAAAAAGTTGGGGTGAATATCAAGAGCCCTCACAAGAAACATCAGCTCCTTGTAAAACTGGAAGAGGAGTTTGACGAGATCACCCCTGATAAAAGAGTTGCCAGAGTAAGCTGGTCAGGTTTAAACATGCATATAATTGTCTGGTGTTCAAATATTTTAATTAGAGTATTTTATTGTTCATTTTGTTTACCTCCTGGCTGCAGACCACTTTCAGAATGGAAGGAAACAAATTGGTGCAAGTGCAGAAGTGGGATGGAAAAGAGATGAGAATGGAGTATGAAATCAAGGATGGAAAGATAGTGATGGTAAGAATGATGAAGTTCAAGATGATCTTACTCATTTTGCCTTTGCAGTCAAAGAAAAACTGGAA